ATGACCCATCTCACTGATAATGAACTCCTGGTTGTTGATGTACTATTCCCTATCCTCCTCTGGCTACCCCCTAACACTGTATACTTTGTCCAACCTTCATTTCTCTCCCCACAATTTCCCATTCTACTTAATTATTCCACTGTGCTCTCTGGAATGCCAGCTCCACAATTAACAACCTTTAGTTTGTTTTAAACCTCTTCCTTTCTCACTTGTTCCATCTTCTGCCACTCACTAAGACATGACTCTCTGCTGATGACAAAGCTTTCTCAGTATCCTTTATAGTACTGGACAAATTCTTTTATTAAGGGGATTTGTTCTGTGAAGTTTGCATTCAGTCAAAGGGCCACACTTGAGGACCTAGAGGGCCACATGTGGCCTCAAGGCCACAGGTTCCCCACCCCTGGTACTGGTTATACTTTGTCTCATAGCCCTCCAACTATTGGGTGAGTGGGGAATTGGAATATTCTTTGCTCTCCTTTGCCACTTTCAGAGGCTTCATCTAGTACTTAAATTAAATGACTTCTCTTCCTTTAAGTTTCACATAAACTAAATTTTCATTCAATCCAAATCCTGATGGATATTATCTATCAACCCCCAGGTCATTTTCAATCCTTCCTCAATGATTTTAGCACTTGTTTAATAATCTTTTTCTCCTCCCTGTCTCCTATTTTCATACTAGGGGACTTAAACATACAAATAGATCCTTACTCAAATGTCTCAACTTTTCAGTTGCCCATTCTACTTAATTCCCACAACCTACCATCTATACCTCTTTTATCTTAACCCTTTGGTGAACCAATTCAATTCTATACTATCCTTTATACTTGAGTCTCTTTCCACCTTATCCTGTCACTTTGCCAAGGACCAGCACTGGATTACTCCCACCATCCACTACCTTTGCTCCTATTCATTTATAGGTAATCTAAGCTAGAGAAAACCTCAAAACTGCAGATTGTGTCAGGTACAGATTTATATTATATAATCTCAGCTGGGCTCTCATGATTCTTTTATGCTTCACTAATCAGTTTACTCTCCCACTTACCAAAAAGGTTTTTTTTTTTAAGGCAATTAGGGTTAAGTGACTTGCCCAGGGTCACACAGTTAGTAAGTGTCAAGTGTTTGGTCTGAGGCTGCATTTGAACTCAGATACTCCTGACTTCAGGGTCTGTGCTCTATCCACTGCACCACCTAGCTGTCCCTCAAAGAGGCTTTTCTAAACATTGTCATCCTTCCTAAACCTCCCATGAAGGTGGCCCCTATGTTCTCAGCTGAAAAAATTGTCTGATATTTCACTAAAGAAAACTGAAGTGATTCACCAAGAGTTCTCCTCCCCTCATCCTCACCTAACATTATATCATTTATACATCTTTCCCCACTAGCTTTTCCTTTGCTGTGGTCTCAGATAAACAGGTATGCTTTCTCCTTGCCATATACAACAATTTGAATAACACAAGCCTATTCTGCACCCACCAGAAATCACAGGAGGTAAAGGAATAATGTGTTTTAGAAAGTACTACCATCCTCCCAGTTATCTTTCTTTACCTCTCCGCATCATGCTGACCACCCTCTCCTTGATACTCTTGTTTCTCTGGGCTTTTGTGACACTGCTCTCTCTCTCTCTCTTTCTTTCTTTCTCTCTCTCTCTCTCTCTCTCTCTCTCTCTCTCTCTCCCCTACCTGTTTGATTGTATTTTTTTCTCAGATTTCTTTGTAGGACTCTTTTGTTAGCCTTTTTGCTTCTCTCTTTATATTGTTTCTCAGTACCTCATTGATTCATATGATTTTTAGTTCTCATCTCTATGCAGACGACTCCCAGATCTATATCTAGTCTTATTTTTTTCTCCAGTTCCACATCAACTGCCTGTTGGACATTTTGATTTGGATGTCCCATAGACTTATCAAATTCAACATGACCTAAAACAGAATTCATTATCTTTTCCATCAAATCCACCATCTTCCAAATTAGGATATTTCAACACTAACTAATCAGTTACCCAGATTCACAACCTCAGTGTTATCCTCAGCTTCTCATTCTCATTAATATCACTCATTCCAATTAGTTGCAAGATCCAGCCATTTCTACAGCACTACATCGACTCTTGAATCTATCCATTTCTCTCTAATTTGGGTTCTCATTATTTCTCACTTATACTAATGTAATAACCTCATCATTGTTCTCCTTGACTCAAGGTTCTCCCCATTCCCATCCATTCTTCACACAGATCTCAAGGTGCAGGTCTAACTTTACCTCTCCCCTACTCAATAAGCTCTAGTGACTTCTTATTACTTCTAGAAGCAAATATAATTCACATATAGATTCAACCTATCCTCCTAGTCTGATTATACATTCCTTTCCTTCATATACTCTTTAGGTCAATCAAAGTGGTCTTTTACCATCCCTCATGCAAGGCTTTCAATTTTTGTATCAGTTACCTTCCATTCCTGAAATATACTCCCTATTCAATTCTGCTTCTTCAAATCTCTAGTTTCTTTCAAGACCCATCTCATATGTCACTTTCCACATGGAACCTTTCTCAGTCCTCCAAAGCTGTGAAACTACATCTATTTTGCATTTGTTTTGCATATAAATGTAGTTAATTTGGATTAGAGAATTTCCCAAAGAGTTGGGTATACATTCTGGCCACTCTCTGAGGAACATGTGCTCTGGTCCCTTGCTAAAGGACATGCATCACCCAATGTTTCATGACTGAACTCTTAATCTCATGACTGAGGTGGAATAGAAGATGATTAATTATCAAATCAGGAAGACTTTTACAATCCTTAGAATGTTATAAAAGTTGAAGAACATCTCTAGCCTTTTTTTCTGTTCAGTAGGACATCTTAGTTCTCTACCAGTCTTCTCTTGGAATTCTAGCATGGTGGAGAATGAAAATGACAGCTATAAGTACATCAGTGGAAACATTCTCTGGTCCAGGCAAATGAGATTGAATTTCAAGTATTTGGCTGCCTCTTTTGCTTTGCATTTCTTTCTGGACATAAGATGTTAAATAACATTGCTCAGATATGAATATTTTCATCCTTGATGGATACTTCCTGATTTTGAGGTCCTTCCTGCCCAGTGGGAGTTGCTTCCTACAACACTGCTTCTTAGAGGAGAAGATGACCACATATAGGATTATTCAGAAACACAAAGGTGTAAAGAGAGCCAGTGTGACAAGGAGATCAGTAGTTTATTAGTTACCTAGGCAAAGATTGGAGGTGAAAGAGAATTATTTCTTTTTGTTGTTCATCCTTCCTTTTCAAAGAGGATTAATAGTATCAGGGGTGACTTGCATACGAATCAGATGTAATTGAGGCAGAGTTGCCCAAAGTCATCAGCCTCACTCTTTGTTCCTGAGTAATCGAAGTCTAGTGGCAAGACAAAAATCAAGACTACTGGTGATGGCTTGGGATAGTGGATGACCTTGGAGTCTTTGATGTCTGACCAAGCTCTGATTGCTCCAAGGTGCCTCCCTCAGCCAGTTTCCTGGCTGTTGGAACACATTGTTTTCTTCGGCCCATTCTGCTGGGGGGAAGTTCACATGCTTGGGGTAGACATCCTCCTAACTCACCAACTGATTTGAGGCCTGTTGGTTATTCTCAACTTGGTTTAGCCCATCTGCCAAGACAGTTTTATTGGGGTATGGCTGCTGTACATGCTGTAGCTTCTTGTAGTCACAAGTAAGAGTTGGATGAAAAGGTGGACACTAAAGGTGGATGAGCAGCCCTGGAATGGGGTCGGCAAGACCTCACACCAGAGGTGCTACTCCTTCTCGGTATACTCCAAATTATCTCTTAAGCAGTCCCTAAACTATCCTTCTCTTTCAGAGACATTACAATGATGGAGATGGATTATTGCTTTACATTTTAAGTGTTTGTCAATTTTTGCTTAAGCATCTTTTGTGATTTAGATGTTTCTGTTGTTGTGAAGGAATTAAGTAGCTACTTTATACAGACACCTGTACCAAATGCTTTTCATAGAAGTCCTGTTGAATCTTTTTGGGGGAAGCCTTAGTAAAATAGACAGGTCCTAAGTTTTACTTCAGAAATTTTCCTTGTACTTCTGGGATTCCACTTGCAAGTGATGGCAAAGTGATCCAGAGAATGAAAGAAAAGTCTGATTTCTTTTGTTTAATAAGGACTTTTAGGATTAAACCTTGGTTCCTATTAGGTCAGAGTAAGATACCCTGGAAGGAATGGAACCCACCTTGGGCAGTAGGTCACATGTTGTTTTCCCCTTTCAAAGAATATAAGCTCCTTGAGGTAAAGGATTGTTTAATTTCTATCTCTGTATTCTCAGGACCTACCAGTGCCTGGCACATACTAGTCATCTAATAAATGTTTGTTGATGAGTCTAAGGAAGCTAAATGACTTGCCCAGATTCACAGCTAGTAGCAAGCTTGAGGACCAGGAGTGAAACACATGTGCTCTGATCCCAGGGCCTGTATTTTTTCTATTGCATCATAGCTGCCTCAGAAGAGAATGTCTTGCATACAACAGCTACCCTGCAAATATTTGTTTGATTAAAGTAATGAATAAAGATGTACTTCTGTATTTCTGAGGAATTACTGAAGATGTTAGGGATTGTAAGCCCTTGGTGTGACCCATGATTTCAGCGTGAAAGAGGGAGGATGGCAATGTTTTCTTCCGGAATGATGCGGGAACCCTCAGTACCTGGCTGCCACCGCCTACTTACCTCTGTCTTAAACCCAGCTTTCAAGCAAACATTTTCCCTCACAGCTCTGCTTCTCTGTGGTGCTGCATTTCCCTCCCAGGGCTCCAGCCAGCGAGCAGAAGACAAACAACCTGAGGGCGGTCTCTAACTGCAGTCTGTCCAGCTGACCTCAGGTCGGGAATGGGGAGGAGGGAGCGGGAAGGGGGCGGACTGGCCCCTCCCCCAATTCCTGTTTTTCAAGACCTGGATTGCACCCCGGGAGTCCTGGGGGCTGTGAGATTGCTACTCTCTGGGAGAGAGGAGAGAGCAGAGACTCGTGCAAGCGAGCAAGCGAGCAAGCGAGCTAGCCATAGAGCGAGCTAGCCCAAGGAGCGAGACAGGGAGCTAGGGCAGGCAGCACCGCCCACGGGGGGCGTCGCAGTTGGGACTGCCGCTCCGCCTCCTCCTCCTTCCCTCGCCCTCCCTGTTTTCCTGCCACTTGATTTTTGGAGGCGAAGACGGCGCTGCGTTCCAGGAGGGGTGAACTAGGACCGAAGGGAGGGAGAGGATTGTCTCTGAGTGACTGCCATGGCTCCCGTCCTAAGCAAGGATCCCGTGGACATAGAGGTACAGCGCGCGCGCTCGAGGATGGAGGTTCCCCTCCGGTGGAGATGGGAAGGAGTCACTGGCTGGGGGGCGTGTGTGTATGTGAGTGTGTGTGTGTGTGTGTGTGTGTGTGTGTGTGTGTGTGTGTGTGTGTGTGTGAACGTGTATCTAAAAGCGAGAGCAAGAGACACAGAGGCAGAGAGACAGAGACAGAAAGCAAGCTTGGAACAAGTAGCAGACATCCAGAAAACTTTGACTCAGCAGCAAATCTTGGGGGCGGGGGGTGCGTTGGCCAAATCTCGGAGGGCTATGGGGGAGCCGGCGTGGGCACTGACCCAGGCAGTTAGAGATACGAAAGTTCAAGACTGGGCTGTGACGGGGTTGTGAAGATCTCCCATTGGCACTTCGTTCTTTGTTGTTCGCGGAACCAGGAACTGTGGTCCGGTCCACCCTGTGCGACAAACTCAGGAAAGGGTTGGGGGAGGGAGGCAGAGAAGGAGGGGAATGCGGGGGAGGGAGAAGCTGACCGCCTCTTGAGGCTCACGGAAATTGTGGAGGCACACTTCCGTGGGGTACCTGGACCTGGCAGCTGATCTGCTTTCCCCTCCTCTTCATGCACTTTGGAAAGGTGGGACGGACGGGGGAGATAGGATGAAAGGGAGAGAAGCCCAGGGAACAATGTAACTCGGGAAAGAAGTGGGTGAAAAGATTGAGGATTTGTAGACTACCCTGCAGTAAGGAGGGGCATAGGCAAACCTAGCCATCTCCCACTACCCTTCTTCCTTCCTTTCCCCTTCCAATCCATTCCTTTATAAATGCAAAAGGCAATGGACTGCATTGAAGTAGTCATTTTCTATTAGCTAGACTTGCCGATGAGAGGGGAAGCTCTTTTAATCTCAAATAGTCATAATTCAAGACTTTATTGACTCCAGTTCATGCTATTGGCGTCTAGGGACCGGGACAAACAGGATTTTTTAATTATCTAATAGTACTCCCCCGAGGGAGGGAGGTGTTATGCCCCTCATTCTTCCCTTTCTCTTCATCTTTTAGAACTAGCAAAACAAAACTCCTTTCGTCACTTCTATGCAGTTGTTTTTCTACACTTAATGTAAAGCGAGTCAGAACTTCTTAAACCACCTGTTTTCAGTATAGTTACATTCTTTACTTGTATCTTGGCTTATATCTGAGGGAAACGTCAGGTCACTCCTGTGTGTTCATTGGGGTTATTCCATCCAGACACTCCCCTTAAAGTAACATTTAGTTACTTAACAGTTGTATCTTGTAGAAAGCTCATTTCTTGATATTTTTTGTATTGGACTGAATCCTAAGTCACATGGTGGGGGAAAGATGTGAACCTTTTTCATTATGTGACTTTTTCTTTCAAGGACTAGAACTTGTGACATTGATTCCTATCTCCTTACATTTTACTAAGCATATTTATTTTGGGGGGGGCCTGTGGAGAAGGCACCCCCATCACTGTTATCTGCTTCAGAGTTCAGTGTCACAACGGAGGGGGGACTTTATTGAAGAGTGTTTTATCATCTTCTGATTTTCTTCCTTTCTTTTTTCCTTCTTTCTTTCCTTCCTTCCTTCTCTCCTCCTCCTCTTTCTCCTCCTTCTCTTTTACCTTCTCCTCCTCCTTCTCAATTACTTCAATACATTGAGAAAAATGCCAGTGAAACAAATGTAACTAGCTTTATCTCACATTGTCCCAACTATGCAATAACTTATTAAGTATAATGTTATAAAATGGTAATAGAACGTGGTCAAATAGTGATTTTTCAACTCCTTCAATAATCATTCATTAAACTTTTATCCAGAGAATAGGTCAATCAATAAGCATTTATTAAGCTCTTACTGTATGCCAGGCACTGTGCTAAGCCCTAAGGATATCAAGTATGGCATAAAAAAAAATACCTGCTCCCTGCTCTAAAGGAACTCACTGACTAATGGAGGAAACAACATGAAAGTAACTATTACAAACATCCACAGAGTGAAGGGATTGGGAAAACTTCCTGTAGGAGATAGCATTTTATCTAGAACATGAAGACAGCCAGGAGGCAGAGATGATGAAGGAGAGCACCTCAGCTATGGAGGATAGCTAGGAAAAACTGTCTAGAGCTCAGATATGGAGTGTCTTGTTCCGGGAACAGCAAGGAGGCCAGTATCATGGGAAGGAAGGGTTTATGGGGAGGATATGAGGTTGGAAAATCAGAAAGGTAGGAGAGCGCCATATTGTGAAGGAGAAATCATTTAAAAAATTTTTTTATTTGACACTGGAAATGATAGGGATACACTAGCATTTATTAAGTACAGGGAATGTGTATGACATAGCTGGGAAGATTAATTTGACAGATGACTGGAGGATCACTTGTAGTGTGTAGGAATTTGAGGCAAAGAAACCAACCTGCAGGCTTTTACAACATTCCAGGTTTGAGGTGATGAGGGCCTGCCCAGGGGTGGATGGAAGTGCCAGAAAAGAAAAGATGTCATATAAGAAAAATGTTAAGAAGGTACAATCAACAGGACTTGGCACAGGATTGGATATGGGGATTGGTGTGAGAGATAGTGAGGCATTCAGGATGACATGCAGGTTGCAAGACTGTGTAGATGAGGAAACAGAGAAAAAAAACGGTATCTACTTTCAAAATATCAGGGAAGCAAGGTGGTGCCATAGTGGATAGAGTGCTGGGCCTGGAGTCAAAAAGACTTATCTTTCTGAGTACAAATCTGGCCTTAAACACTTAGTAGCTTTGTGACCCTGGGCAAATCATTTAACCCTGCCTGCCTCAGTTTCCTCATCTGTAAAATGAGTTGGAGAAGGAAATGGCAAACCACTCCTCTATTTTTGCCAAGAAAACCCCAAATGGGATCATAAAAGGTTGGACATGACTGAATGACAGAAGAACAATAACAAAACCCTAAAATTGCTTGTTTTACTACTATTTTATAGAACACCAAATTTTTCATAAATGATCATTAGAAGATGCTTCCTGTCAGAGTGTAGAAAGAGCTGGCCTCAGAGTTAAGAAGCCTTAGGTTCAAGTTATGCCTTTGAGATATACTGGTTGTTTGACCTTGGGCATATCACTTAATGCTTCAGTGCCCCAGGCTCTTTTAAGCCTATACATAGATGCAGAGTAGGTTATGATCTACCATTGTTAAGAGAGGATTTTCACATTCGCATACCAATGAAATAACTGACCTGGTCCAAAAAATATTAAAAGCAAGGAGTCAAAATGAGCATATTTGATTTATTCTTATGTTCTATCCACCTTCAAGCCCTATCTCAATAAGATCATCCATCAGTTTCAAAGCTGAGGTTCCAACAATAATTGCTTATGCATAATCTTTTTCCTCCTTTTCTGAAACACCTTCAAAGTCCTTCAAGTATAGATCAATTTCCATTCATTAGTATTCGAGGACATTTGTAATCTTGTGCCAGTCCACATTTTCAGCATCCTCTCATACAACTCTCATAAATTTGGTGTTCTTGGCCTCTGTATCCAGGTCTCTGTGCACATGCTCATAATCCTTGCAATACCAACTCCCTTTTTTCCCTGTTAAGTTCCAACTCATCCTTTAAAGTCCATTATTTTGTCAAATCATGTCAGTTCAAACAAACAGACATTTACAAATACAAAGAAAAGGCATAGCCCTTGCCTTCAATGAGCATATAGTTTACTGAGGAAATAGAGGAGATGCTATTCAAAGTGAGCCTTGAAGGAGATGCATGCAGGAGATGCAGTCTTGGATAATGACTTTCATGCCAGCAGGAGGTTGCAGGTTCAAACTGGGAAACAGCTAATAGTTCAGTTTGGCTTAAACATAAAATGCATGAAGAGGAGTAAGGCTGAAAAAAAAAAAAAAGAAGCAGATTGGAGCCATGTGGAAGTTACACATAAAATGTGTAACTAGATAATCCATACTTTGTTCTAGAGAAAATAAGGGTCCATTGAAGAATTTGGAGCAGGAAAATGACGTGTGTGTGTGTGTGTATTTGGCATATTATTTTGACAATTGTTTGGATAATGGATTGGTGGGGGGGAAAGACGAGTCAGGAAGAAGTTAGAAGACTATTAAAATAGTCTAACCAGTGTCAAAGGCTCAATGCAAGGTAGTGATGTGAATGTAAGGTAGTGTGATATGAATGGAGACACTGAGATAAATATGAAAGATATATTGGAGGTAGCATAGACAATATTTGACAGCTAATTAGGTAGAAAGGGGAGGGCTGTGAGATAAATGGAAATGTTAGACAACTTAAAGGTCTAGGGCCTAGGCTACTACTAATAATAACAATATTAATAATAACTAGCATTTATATAGTACCTACTATGTGACAGTCAATATGTTAAGTGCTTTACAAATATCATCTTATTTGATATTTGTAAGAGCCCTGGAAAGTAGTGGAGGTAGAAGCTATTATTATCCCCATTTTTTTATCCCCATTTTAAAGTTGAGGAAATGGGGGCAAACAGTGATAAAGTGACCTGTCCAAGGACACACAGCTAGTAAATGCTAGAGTTCACATTTGAACTTAGGTCTTCCTGACTCTAGACCCAACACTCTATCTACTATGCCTCTTACCTAGGAGGTGCCATTCATCTAATTAAGGCAATTGATGTCAGCATCAAGTACATTAAGGAGGATAGTTAATTCATATTGGGACTTACTGAGTTTTAGTTTCTAATAGTACTTTTGGATACATGAGAAAATGAAAAGATTAGACTTATCCCTAAGGTTAATTTTAGTTCTAAATATTATCGTTTGTCTTCCAAGCAATGGGAGGTAAATATAATAATATCTGACAAATTTACAATTTTAAAGATGTAAGACAAGTTCAGGGGAAAGATTAAATCTCTGTATATAAATGGGGTAGAGCAGCTAGGTGGTGCAGTGGACAGAGCATCAACCTTGGAGTCAGGAGGACCTGAGTTCAAATGCGGCCTCAGACACATAACACTCACTAGCTGTGTGACTCTGGGCAAGTCACTTCACCCCAATTGCCTCACAAAAAA